TGTATTCATATTAATAATGTATATTTCATATCTGTCTTTTCTAGGGCAATGAATACATACCTCCACAAACTGGAGATATTTACAGCACAATACACTATTTCTTCAAAAGTTTAGGGGAAATCCTGTTTTTTACATATTCTTATGTGTACTTTCATCTGTCTGAAAATTAAATGCAATTAACAGGATCCTTTTAAATCTTTTATAATATAATTTAGATTTATTAATGTAATCCTGAAAAATTAAAAAGAACACTTTATAACAAGTGTCAGTATTTCTTTAATCCCTAAAATATTTTTACTTAAATGCTTCAAAGGTAAACCACAAGGAGCTGAAGCCTCTTATGCCATACATGCATAGAATTGAACTAACTTTATATTCTGGGCTTTGTTCCCCAGCTATGTGCAATTTGATTAAGATTAGTCTTTTTAAAAAAACCAATATTTATACAATTTAACAGTGGATTTCTAGCAATGTATAAAGGTGACATTGCAGAGCAGATCAGTGTATTGCATTTCCTTAATAAGCTTTCAGATTGTAAATAATCTTTGTATATTAATCTATTTTCTCAGTGGTTTGGTTTTTAAAATGATTTGCTCTTAAATTCTAATACTGAAAATATTCATGCATGTGCTTCTGTTTAGCTTTCCTAGCAGCACATCCGGAATAAATCAAAATTTCAGTTCAGAGTGTGTTTTTACATGAACAAATTCATAGTCTTTCCATGATAAAACTCTACTGATGTTAATGTAAGGTTAGTTGAAAAAGCTCAGGAAGACCAGATAAATCCTATGGCTTACTGGTATCTAAATTAATTCTGATTTTAAAAATAATAACATAAATTAAACATAACATAAAGCCTTCTCAGCATAGAAATTCTTTCATTTATTTTGAAGTAAGAATTAGCAGAAGAAATCCTTTTTGATCTATTAGATGTACATTTTTTTCTGAGAAAGGACAATATGCCAAGCTCTTAAGTGCGTCCAGAACCACAAAGCTGCCTGTGTGTACCTGAGTGCATTTTATCTGTATATGTTTCCATGGACCTGATTATGTGTGGCTATCTGTGCATGCACTCACAAAATATCTTACAACGTATCCACCATAGTCCTTGGCTGAGAGGTACAGAATAAAGAAATGTTTTAAGTATGATTTTTCCCATTACAGGACAGTTCCTTGGAAAGAAGGGGGAAGCAACCCAAACTAAGTATAGCAATAATAAAAAGAAATTGACCACTTCCGCTGTTAATGGGTTTGGTTTTTTTTTTTTTGCAAGAAAACATAACCATTGGAAAAATACAATTGAAACCCCCTGTTTTGTAAACATGGAACAAAATGTAAAACATTAATCCATTTGTAGATTTTTGACTAACAACTTCAACCCTTTCTCAGGTGGTGGGACTCTACAACCTACAGTGTGCAGTGCAGGTGATAAAACTGTCCAAAAGTGATGCCCAGCATGGTATTTTCAAAGACTTGGTTTTAAAGAGTTATAAATCCATTGTTTGTTATGCTCACCTCATAAAACTGCATGTAAATTCTGCATGAGAATGGTTGTTAGGTTGTACCTGATGTTGACAGTATGTACCCTGATGTAACTTAGTTTGTTACTATTTCCCGTACGTTCGTGCCTTTGTAGCCTTGCCAAAAGAATGAGAAATTATGATCGAATTGAGTAAGATGCTGTGCAAACTTACAGCAAAGCAGAATTATTTTACAGTGCTTAAGCAATGTTCAGGCATTTTTAGATGGTGTCCTGATGAAGTAAATAATAAAACACAAAAAAGCTCTTAAAGATAAATGAAAGAAATGCCATTATACAATCAGTTATGAACTATAAGGAACAAATCTGAATGCTATTGGATATCCTGTAATTGATTTCAGCCAAATTGAAATTATAGATGTTCTTTCTTTGGAAAAATTAATCAGTTTAACTGAGATCTTATAGTAACTACAGGTGCTGAATATATAGAAATGTCTAATTTTTTGCATTTTTGGGGACGAAATGTGCTTGCGTTGTTGTCACTTGGAATTTTACCATTGATGTCAGTGATGTTCAGGAGCTACCTGCAACACGTATTCATCTTACGCTGCTGCATCAGAAATCTTTCAATAACTGCTTTGTGCACAACATTAAAATGACAGACTCTAGCTGATTCTTGGGGCTTGCTTGTAGCAGTGGGAGTAAAACCAAATCCTCTGTAGATCCTCTTGAAAGTTTTGGAAAAATGCTTGTTTTATAATTGTGGCCTAAAGGTTCATTTGGTATTTCTGTTAGAAGTTTTCTATCAATGTCGTGGTTTTACCCCAGCTATTTTATCTCTGCTGAAGCCAGGACAATTAAGCAGAATTCACATTTATTCTCATCTTCAAATTATTCTCATGTTCAAATAATGTAAGTCTTTGGGGAAGGTGGAAAAAAGACACACCAGTCTGTTGAAGAACTTCATTGAACAGGTGTGGATGCTCCTCTCCAGAGTAAGGCAGCAAGAAATTACCTGTCAGAGGAAGCATGGTGTTTCTGCCCAGCTCTGTGCTGCAGACTGCACGGCAGCCTCTTGGTTGAGATTCTGGGCTTGGGAAATTTACTGAGCTCATGGGAAACTCATTGTTAGTAATGACTCAGTCAACTTGTACAGGAAAAGTGCCTTACATTCTGGGCACTAGTTTCTAATCTTTACCATCAAAAGGTATTTGAAGTAAGGTAATTTTACTCATTGGATTTCTTTTATCTTTCCTCTTTTTTTTCCCCTCTGCTTCTATTATTCACTCATTTTGCCAGCAATTTATAATTCATTAATTTTTCTTTTGTTCCCAGCTGATCTTTTTTTTGCTCCACTGTTGTTCTCTTTTAATAAATCAGATCTTCTTAACTCTTTCTTCAGAATTTTTACTTTTGCTTTTTGCTCTATCATTTTTCTATAGAAAACTATTCCCCTGACATTTTCTTATTTATTTATTTATTTCCTCCCCTGCCCCCATTTGCCTGAACCTTGTTACAAGGACCTAGATTCCTTTCTATGTTTATTGAAATTATGCCTTGGTAGAACTCTGTCGGTCTCAGTAGGTTCACATAAAAGGAATAAAATCCATTTTGCTTTTTCCTGCTTACCCATTTCAATTTCCAGGTTTCTGTTTTCAGTGTGAACTGATTCTGTCTGTATAAGGAAAATTGTTGTATTCAAACACACATGAATGTTGTGGCATTTTTAGGGGCTGTTTCACAGTTTATTGAATAAAGAACAGTCTGGTCTCAAGTCCTGGATTCAGCCCTGGAAATTAATTAAAGTGTGAACCTGATGCAGGTACAACCTGAGCACTGAAGAGGCACAAAACTAGGATGAGCATGCCCACTTCTGTCACAAAGCAGCGGCAATATATTAAATTACTAAATTAACAATGCAATCTATTTGCACTTCTGGAAATGGTTAAAGTCTTAGGAAGGGTAACTCCATTCCTTTCAAAATGTTGTTTTGGTTTTTTTCTACCCAGGGAAGGGGATAAGGAAGTGTTGGCTACTACGTTACTGCTGTCCTTCAATATCTTTTTAATGAATTCTTTTTATGGAATTAATTTTTCCCTGTTTCATGCACCACTTACTGCAATACATTTGAAAAACACCAAAGGCAACACTTTTTTAAAAATCATTTATTGGGTCAAATGTAATAAACAAGAAGAAGGAGGTATCTAAAAAAAAAACCCAACAATTTTTTCAACTTGTGGCCTTTGCTTCAGAAAAATCTCCTGAGACTACAAGAATAGTCTTCCAAAAATTGATGCCTCTGCTTTCTGGTCTCCTCTACATGAATCAAAGTTGAAGAAGTAACTAGTGCAGTGTCCAGAGCCTTTTCTCCAGGTTTTTTAGCTCTGCCTCTGCAGAGAATTCCAGTCAGCCTTGGATTTCTTTGATGTATTGTGACAAATGCTGCCTTGCTGTGTTTTCTGCCCCCGCTGGAGTTTCCATGGGATTAGAGATCACGTGCTACCTTAGTTTAATGTTCTTGACCTTTTTCAGATGATTGACACTGCTGAATGATTACAGCAAAGCAGCAATTATCCACTAGCTGTGTTCTGCTCATTTCAAGGAGAAAATAAATGTTATTTGAGATGAGTAATCTGGACCGTGTCTTTCTGCTGAGTAAATGTAGTGAGTCATGATTCCTTTCCCATTTGTTCTGTGTTGTGGTACTTTCTGCACATTTCCTCTGTGCTCTCCCCCTTCTAAATGCTTTACTGTGCTCTGATCCTGTTAGCCCACAGAGCTGAGAGTGCTAAATCTTTTGGGCTTGATCAGCAACATAAAATTCCTCAGGCTCAAAGGCTCAAAGATGGTGGCAGGCATAGCAATGTGTATCTTCTTATGTATTTTAAAAAATAAAATAGAAGAAATGAAAGCATCCTAAGCTACCAGCAATGTGTTTATGATGTCAGCACAGAAAGTTGTATAGGTATTTAGCAGACTAGCTTCCATAGAGTAGGGTTGGTTCTTTTTTGGTCTTTTTTTTCCCCTTCTTTTTTTCTTTTGCCTTCAGTGAATTTCCCACAAGAACTCTGTCAAGGTTTGGCTCATAAATAGCAATGAGTTTTATAAAGTTCCTGTACACACAAAGCAAACAGCAACTTTACCAAATGTTCAATGCAGGGAGATCCATGTGTCTCTTCACGTTACTGTTTTGGAAGCCATTTTACAGAACACCTGTGTGGCTTTAATGAAAATTCACACACAGAGATGCAGATTTGAAGGAAAAAAATACAAATTTGGCACTGCATCATAAGGACTTAAATACTGGGATTTTGTTTTGTATCAAGGGGTTGTATATCTGTGACACTACATCGTCATTATAGTAATCAATAAGGTTATGACTGTTAACATTAGAATAATCAACAATATACAATTACACAGTTATAATAATTATATACCATTAATGCTATTATGGTTGTTAATATTGTTTTTATGTTGCCACAGCCTCTTTTTACAAGGTAACTTTTTTTTTTACCTATAGGCCATCGAACATTGTTCATTGGAGTTCACGTGCCACTGGGTGGAAGAAAAAGTCACCGACGCCATAGACACCGTGGACATAAACACAGAAAGAGAGACAGAGAGCGAGATTCAGGATTAGAAGATGGGAGAGAGTCTCCTCCTTTTGGTAAGATAAATTTTATTTTTGCGTAGATCTTTTAATAATAAACATCAGTATGATTATGCATGCTCTGTCCTGTTACGGCTTGGACATGACTAGCAGCGTGGTTTTGGAGAACCCACCAGAGCCTCTCCACTCTCTGCTGGAGAGCCAAGATTTGTTCCTCTGATGAAGGGCAGCAGGCAGTGGCAGTCAATACGTGAGAAATCTCAATAACTTCTACCACTGTAGGAGACTGTTCTCATAAAGGAACAAAGAACTGCCACCACCACTGAGGGAAGCACTTCATGGCACCAGCTGCCCTCAGTGAAGGCTCTGGAGTATTTGTCCCTAAAATGTAACATTGAGGAGTTCTGGTTCTTTACAATTAGTTTTGTAATAATGTTGATGTTACTGAAGTTGCAGTGTTTTATCAGATATGAACTGAGATCCAGATTGCGTTTGCCTTTTTTCTTACGTGGCACTGTAATGTGCCACGTAAGATGAGTCTGCTAACTGAGGACTTGAGAGTATACGGGAAAAAATAGGCTTCAATAAACCTCATACAAAACTAAAAATCTCAAAATTTTAAATTAAAAAACATTACAGAGAATAGAAAAAGGTAGTCATGAATGAATTAGTCAAGCTTTGTCTTGAAACACATGAGAATATTCGTTGCTGTTCAAAAATAAAAAGTGCATGTGCTGAAACGTCCAAGGCTAAAGTAAGTGTTGAAAATGTAATGGAAACACGCATAGAAAACAATTTTTCAGTGTGCAACAGAAGAACATTTTTAAATAATTAGGGAAATGTTCCAATATGATTTCAGGTTGCAGAATAGTAATTTTTTTAATCCAAAGTTTGTATTATATATGTAGAAAGCTTTGGAGCAAGTAGATTGTAAGTGCTGATGGTTAAGTATATTGTGAAGAGCTTGAAATACTCAAATCTTTCACAAAGAATTATACTGAGAATGAAACAAAATCAAGACTTTTTCAAACTTAGTAGATATGAGTTATGTTTTGAAGACTGAACAGTGAAGAAAAAATTGGCTGTGGTGGTTCTGTCTGGAATGTATTTCAAATGTATGAAGACCCAATACTATATTGAAACCGGTTTCTTGGAAAAAACAAAGTTCATAAATTATTAAAATAGTTTTCAAAAAAAATATGCATATATACATATAATGTCAGATTAAAAAGAAACAATTGAAAATTACATTAGCCAAGAAGTGAGATATCTTAAACTATGAAGCAATGTCTTCTGTTGAGTCATCTGGTTTTATTTAAGTGCCAGTATGTGACACATTTTGGCTGAAAACTTAGCTCTGTTCTTTCAACTTCTGGAGACCTAGGCTTGTGTCCTTCTTAATGTCAAAAGTAAAAAAAAAAAAAAAAAAAAAAAAAAAAAAAAAAAAAAAAAAAAAAAATTAACTGGCTGAATCTGTCCTTAATAGTCTTTGACAGCTGTGCATACAATAAAATGCACTGTTCAACACAATTCTGTGTTAAGTGAAAATCAGCCTCTGTTCAAGAGAGCTCCAAAAGAGTAATAGCAGTAATATGAAAAAGAGAGTTTTGAAGTGCATTTGTAAGTTGGTGTTCACAGCACTTGTCTACAGGCGTACTTGTTTGAAAGAACTATAGGACTGCACTTTTGTAAGTCACATTTTCACTTATAAAGGTATTACAACTACCAGTTAAAGGGTGTGTAGGTCATGTCACGTAAATTACTACTTTTTATAAAGCCCAGGACAGACAAGATATAGGCCAGAAACATGCAAATCTTCTCTGGATCCAGAATGCTGAAGATACTCTTCCAAATGCCTGGGTGATAACGATTCAAAAGGAGCCGAAGGCAGAACTACCAAACATTCAGGAAAATCTGGAAATATCCAGTTTTCCAGCCTGAAATAATATCTAAGTAGCAAAATTTGATAATTTTTCCCCTTGGCTGTCAGACTCCCGGAAGTTTGGCCAGAGAACCAGACTGAGCTTTGACATCTGTCCATCCAGGCAGAAACGTGGCATCCCATAGACAACAGTGAAAGGAATTTGCCTTATGAAGGCAAGTCTGAAAATTATACAGTGGTGGAGGGGTTAAGCACAGTCAGAGCAGGCAGACAAAATTATACAGGGATTCATTGTCATCTATATCCACATCCTCGCTTTTACTATGGATTTTCCTTAGAGGAGTTTCAGACAGGTGGTTGTGCTGCCTGGGGAGAAGCATTGCCTTTAGAGAGAAGCACAGTTTTTGTATGCTTTATTTACACAGAGGGAGCAATAGATACTTCCTGCACTAAATCTGAATCCACTAAACCTCAGTAATGCTTCTTAGCTATCATTCCCCATGATCACAACGTTGTAACAGTACCTGGAAACTGAAGGAAGTTGCAAGGAAGATGAATCCACTTCCTACTCCTGGTGCATAACTTAATACGAGGGATTGTGAGAGCAGATCCAAAATAGTCCCTTAAGTTATGACTCATTCTGATTTAATTGAACACGGAGAAATGCTTAGCTCCCTCTCACCATATACTGCTTTTAATGCGTTTCTGCTGAATAGTAGGAGGCTGTATTCATGGGAACTGGTGGGGAGGAGGGGAAAGAAAAACATTTCAACCAGCAGGTGCAAGAAGAAAGATAGAGAAAATAAGCACTGTGAGACCAGCTGATAGAAAACAGTGCTTTGAAGTAAGTCAGAAAAATACGTTAGGATATTTATGATACAAGAGAATAAATTAGCAGTGTTTTGAAGCAGTGAAGTATGAAAGGAGGTATAATAAAAGCCAAAGATGCAACAACTGAATAATAGAGATGCTGGAACAAGTAAAGGCCTGAAATATTCAGACATGAAGTGCTCCAGACTGCTTAGTTAACCAAGCATGGGATGAAGCGTTATTTTTTGTCATAATTTATAACTGTATGATTTATAACTTCATCTGTACCATTAGGTGCAGATCTTGTTCTATCACTGCTTCAGGGAGCTGTGTGGTGCATGCATGTGCTGTAGGGCTGTGCAGGCTCAGAGCGGACGGGTGTGACCTGATTCCTATCCAGTGAAAAACAATTTCTTGAACAGTTTTCTTTCTGTCAACAAGGCTAGAAAACACCTGTATTCAATGTAACGCCCATGGCTGGAAGCTTTCTGGTAATCCCTTTGAATCTTGGCTGGGAAAGCTGTACCAGGTACTTTCTGAAGGCATGTTTCTTCAGAGAATAGGTTTTTTAGAATATTCTGATGGCAGCTCATAAGCTTTTTTTATCCCCTCTGTCACTTTTCAAAAATAACCAGAGTGTTCTCAGTGTGTAGATTCAGAGCTTGTAGACAAATAGTACGTAGAATATGTAGTTGATGGAATAAAAAGGAGTAGAGTCCTGTCATTTGGGGGCACAGATCACTTACTTAAGTTTTATTTTTGTCTTAGAATCATAGAATGGTTTGGATTGGAAGAGACCTCAAAGGTCATCTAGTTCCAACCCCCCTGCCATGGGCCATGGGCAGGCACACCCTCCACTAGACCAGGTTGCCCAAAGCCCCATCCAACCTGGCCTTGAACAGTTCCAGGGAGGGGAAATCCACAGCTTCTCTGGGCAACCTGTTCCAATGTCTCACCACCCTCATCATGAAGAATTTCTTCCTAATATCTAATCTAAATCTACCCTCTTTTACTTCAAAGCCACTACCACTTGTCTTATCACTACACTCCTTGATAAAGAGTCCCTCTCCATCTTTCCTGTAGGCCTGTGTCCTCCCCACACCTGATTCTTGCTGTCTGTTGCCTCTTAATGAGATGAGGTTGTAAAAGATGTTTCCATTTTGCCATAATGATGTGCCTTTGAATTGCATAATTTGCAGATTACATAGCTTGCTCATGGAGAGGCTTTTTTGGGTAGTAAAAATCGTAAGCTAAGTAATTTCAAGATCTAGATTTCCACCATCTTTCCTCACAATTTTTTGGAAGAAAAGGAGAAATCCAGTGAAATTATCCACTCTAGTTCAAAATGCAGTAATGCAATTTTCTTTATTGAAGAGGTTTACCATTCCCAGCTGAAATGCTGCTGTTGTAATTAAGGCCCCAGTTTCACGCCTGCGTTAAGCTCCCCTCCTCCACAGCTTTCCTTGTGGGGTAAGTATTGTGGCTGCTCTGTGAGTTAAATTAGGGAACTGATGCAAATTAAAACTAGTTTGACAAAAAAGCTATTTCTAGCCTAGAGCAGCTCCTTGGTGCTGTTTGCTGGTAGAGTGATGTGTGCCAGCCCAGGTGTGGTGTGGGGTCACAGGCCGGCCCTTTGGCTGGTAGGGTTGCACTTGCTTGGTATGCATGTGGATTTTAGTGGCAATTTTCAGTGTTTTTTGATGTCTGTTTTTTGCCTGTAACCAGTGAAACAGCTCTCTTGTACTCACACTTAGGAGTTAAAGATATTTATGTTTCTGTTTTAAAATGGGGTGGAATAGGAAGACGGTAGTTCTCAGCAGGGTTTTGTTAAGGACACGTCTTGTGAGGATGAAGTGAACACAGCTGTGAGGAGTTGGGGTTTGATTTCAGCCTCCTGTGGTATCTTCTGGGACTACACACTGTTGGGGCTTGTGCAAGGTTTGGTTTGTTCTTTTAAGAAATCTGGCTTTAATAATCTCTAGTTTTAAAGAGGTTTAAATTTGTAATTCATGATACTGGATGTGGCAAGGAGAAGCTGAGCAGCCCTTGAGGTGAGTTTAACAGAGGACTGTATGCATGGTTCAGGAAAGACTCTCTGAAAGTAATGCAACCAAAAAAGTGAATTGCAAAGGGGGGTCTTCTCTTGGTTACTAGAGGGGCTTGAAGAAAGTATAACGAAAGGACTCAGCTAACAAAATTGGGTAGCTAACCTCATACCTCGAAGGGCTATTAATGGGGTAAATTTAATTATTTGTAAAGAGTACGGCTGTTAAGAGAATTCTTCTACCCTTAACTATAGTCTTTGTCTGCTGAAGGATAAATTGTGAAATTTGAATCTCTGGGCAGCTGTGGAACAGATTGCAAC